AAAAAAATGGATAACAACATCTGTAAGAGAAGATTTAAGGGTTTCTTGATCTCAACCAATGGTATCTAACTCCCATAATCAGGTAGATATAATACAAGGTGTATGTGTAGTCATTCATATAGAGGTTATCTTATAATTGTTATTTATTTAAAAGGTTTGTTACAATATTCTATACAGGTTTTTGGATATCATAAAAGTCCTTTTGTAAGCTTTCAACAAATGCAACCTTTTTTGCCAAATCAAGCAAGTCACAATTCTGATAACTTTAATTAGGTATGAACATTTCACTTTCATTTTAAACATGAATAAATGTTTAAATTATGTTTAAGTTATCTTTTATATCCTAACTTTTATGTTTTGTATTTGTTTTGTTATTTTTTTAGATGTCTGAGAAATGAGACCATGGAAATTGTGGGACTTCCTAAGAAAGCTATATGACCATTTTCTTTGTTTGTTATGATAATTTTGTCCTTTTCTATTCTAATGGAAAAAAAAAAAGTACATTTTGCTCTTGATTTTTGTAATGGAAGATGAATCCCAAACTGATATACAATATTATTTTTATTAAAGCTTTTGTTATTGGTTAATTTCGATTTAGTGGATTGTTTTTCCTTTTCTGGGTTCATGTTTCAGTGAATTATTTCTGGGATGCGTTCTACATATCATCCTTACATGATAAACAATCACAAGTTTATAACAGTAGAATATAAAGTGTAAGGTTGATCCAAAATTTAGGAGTATTGACAGAGCAGGGGTTTTAAAGTTAGAGGCAATCAAATTCAGCATCTTTCGAATTTTTCATTTTGCATCCTGAATATTTTTAAACAAATACAGAGTAATAATAATTGTTTTCTTAAAAAAAAAAAATGTGGTGTTTTTAATTAGATATGGCATAATCTTCATAAGTTTGATCAATTCTGCTGATTTATGCAAATTCATTTCAGTATATGTTCAAACTGATAGATGATAGTGAACCTTTTCCCTCAGAAAGTTTTAAAAAACGAATATTGCATTTTGGGTAGTAAAAACAATGATCTACCGACAACATCAATGATGTATTGTTACATTCACCGAATAAAATTTATTGCCTTGTAAAGAAGCATAAAACCTTAAAACTCATACAAAAAAAAAATGTCAAACAGTACCACAGAAAAAAAAAACCACATCACCCACTTACGTTTGTAGCAACAAAAAAAGAAAGGGTATGTCATCCCTTTGGTTACACCATGTAAAGGAAACCCAAATTAACAACCCAACATCCATCTGTCTACACGATTCAATCATTCTTCGAAAATTTCGAAGCATATATCGAGGCTTAAGAGCACCAATTTTTTTTTTCTTGGATGTGGAGAATATAAATCTCCAACGAGAACCCATCTCTGCCTTAGTTGTTGTTGGGGATTTGTAAGATAGTTTCGTTGACGAGCTCGAATACCATTCGTACATAAAGAATAAAAATCTATAAAATACCATTATGGAGAATTGAATTCTTGACGACACAAGTAATCTGGAACTCAGATTTCTCAATCACTTCCACCCTAAAACCATCCATTTTTCTACTGTGACCCGCTCTCTTCAATCATTCACAAAGCATTATCTAGGAACTTATTTTGAATAAAAATTTAAGATAAATGGAGAGAGGTTTGAATTCTTGAAATTCGAATTGTTGAATTAGGGAAAAGTGGTTAGAAAGAAACAATTTCTGAAAAGTTGCACACATAAAACGAGAAGGGAACGAAACCTAAAGAAGGAGAAATTATTGACTGCAACGGAGGTTCCACGTCAATTTGCTGACATGGCATCACAAGCCAATAGAATTTAGTCTTTTTTGCACAGTTGTATTCCTCGTAATGTTCGCTTTCTCTCACTACATCCAAGTTATAGACCCAAAACCAACGCCGGCGTTAATTTTCACCGACGGGTCTCTCCTCACCGTCGTGGCGTTCCTCTTCAAATTTGCGCTGAAGATTGAAAGCAGCTTGCTTGTGTTGGACGGCGTGTTAGACTGCAATTCTTGGTCGCCGTCCATCTCCACTGTCGCCCTCATCCGAGCCATCCACAATCGCTATCATCCGTGTCGCAGAGTTCCTTGTTCGCCGACTGCCGTTCAGTCCGCCGCTTCACCTCCGACCTTGCCCATCGTTCTGTTATCCGGCCCCTGTTTGACCCTCAGTCTTGTCGTCGTTGGCGACTTGATTTTCTCTCTGCTCAGTTCTTCTCCGGTGACCTGTCCATCTATTTACCGAATCTCTCCCATACGCGTTCTGTTCCATGCCCTGCACATTTCTCTTACCAAAAAAGCCACACCCTCTCCCACCATTGTTGCCATAACCACCTAGAAAGTCGTCGCCTTTAACTGTCTGATCTGTTCGCAGCGTCGAGGTCGTTGCTGAAGACAAAGACGAGACCCATCCTTGTAATTTTCGGATTCTTTATCGATACCCATGTCGTTGCCGACGCTGGTTCTCTAGAATTTCACCTTCGGCTGTGCTCACTCCGCCCTCACCGAGCCCATCGGCGTTGTCAGGTTCAGCCGAGGATTCCTCTCTTTGTCGACTCAGCTCTCCACGTTCTCTCCTCAATTGCCGGCACCGGGGAGTGAAGGGGGAGAAGGGGAATTTTGGGTTGACTTGGATGTAGTGAGAGAAAGGGAACATTGCGAGGAATACATCTGTGGAAAAAGACTCAATTCTATTGGCTTGTGATGCGAAAAAACCCAATTCTATTGGTTTGTGATGCTATGTTAGCAAAGTAACGTGGAACTCCCATTACTGTCAATAATTTCTCCTTTTTCCCAAAGAAGAGAGAGAAAAATTCTGTTTTTCTCCGTCAATTTCTTCACCCATCTGCGCTGATGTGGCAAATTGAATATAAAAATAATTTTTTATTATAGCTGTCAAGAAAAAATTGGTGTAGTCCACCAACTCAACTTGCTGAGGTGTATGGACTTGGTCCGTACAATAATTTCTCCTGTAATTGCTCTCGAAATGGGGCCTCACATCAGCTATGACGGAAGGCGACTATAAGTCTAATTTTCAACTTGAGCCCTGAATTTACGCTAGTGTCATAATTGAGGATACAAAGCATAATGGTGTTCTCAGAATGAGCACATCTCTGCATGTCGTGTTCCTCAATCATCAAATTTTGTGGCACATAGTAAGCTTTGCAGCACAGGCAGGCTGCTTTGCATGGCCATCGCTTTTCTGGTTACGCCAACTTTATATACGATTGCATAAAATTAAAGTCTTAAAGTTAAAATTTCATACTGAACATAGATAAATGTAACTCTTGTGAGATATAATATTTCATTTGCCTAAAGAGTTGGAGCTACTCTAAGAAACATGTTGTGATTGTTTATTTATGAAAAGTAACATCAAAAGCGAACACAGATTCTAATTCATCTCCTCAGCTTGAGAAGCAAATTTCAATGAGAAATGCTAAATGACCCGACTACTGTTCACCCGACTTTAACCGACAACCACTTGTCAAATGTTAATTGGTACAACTAGGCAGACAACTTTACTCTCTCTCATCTCTTTCAATCTTCTCATCTTTCTCCCTTCTCTCTCCTGCGGCGCCTCTCATGTCTCTGCCTTCACAATCCAGATGAGTCCGAGCTTCACGCCGAGGATTGCGCCAAAAGGACGACATGGGTTGATCCCAGAGGCCAGAGCTTTGTCCAATTCTTCTCTCTCTCACCTGTCCTTTCTTCGTTCTCTATCTTCCTCCTCTTATTGCCCCCAACCACAGCCGCCACTAATTCCACCAAACCACCCCAAACAGTATTTTTCTCAAGGAGACCACTGAAAGCCTCAAACAACTAAACTCACTCCCCCAGGAAAAATGGTCTTTGGAATTGGAGCTAACACGGTCTGAAACGGAAAAGGGGGTTTTGCAGGGCGAGTTGACTCAGTTGCAGGACGATATAGCACGACCGGAGTTGGAGAGGAACTTGGTTTCTGAATTTATTTCTGTGCATGTCAATCAACAAGTTGAAGTGATTACGGAGGAGAGAAATGGGTTTGTGAGTGAGAGAGCAGAGAGTGAGGGGAGATTGCAGAAACTAAAGAGAGAAATGAGGGAAGTTGTGAGGGAGAAGAGTGAGATTGAGAAGGGGAAGAGAGAGAGAGTCTGAAATTGGGTGTTGGAGAAGAAATTGAGCTAGCTTCTTGTTGAAATTGATGTTCAAATTGAGGAAACAAATGGGTTGAAAGCAAAAGGCAAATCGTCGGGGCCTCGCCGGTGATGAAGCTGATGAACTCCGGCTAGCATTCTTGCACCGTCTCCTTCGCGTCCTTTAAGATCTTCGCATTCGCCGGCAGCGCCTTCATGATCCGGCTCACGTTCTCGCTGAAGCTAAAACCAAACCCAGCAAGTGGTAATCAAAGCAATCCAAAGAATCCATCGTCTCCGTTTGGGCAGTATATGATTTCAGTTAGATATATGTGTGTATGGGCCTGTGTATATAAATATATGTATGTATATAAAACACAGAAGAAATAGAGGGAGAAAAGATGTGGTGGTTATGGAACCCAAGGGGTGATACTATGTGGAGAGAGATGGCGGCGGCCTGTGGTGGAGGAGAAGTGATGGCGGCGGCGGCGGTTGTGGTTGAGAAGTGGTAGCGATATAAGGAGGGAGATGATGGCGGTGATTTTGGTTGAGGAGAGATGGCGGCGAGGGCTATGGATGAGTCGGAGAGAAGATGGCAACGTGGACAGCCACATAGATGAGTCGGTAGATGTCAGGTGCAATACAGTCAGGTCATGTAGCACCGTTCAATTTCAATTCAAAATAAGCTTTTTCATTTGCATCAATGGTTAACATCAATTGCACAAGGGTGATACTTGTTATTTTACGCAAGAATGACATACATATTTAATTATATATATATATACATACACTTAGAATATATATATATTTTTTTTCAAGACAAGTGTTTGAAGTTAGATTAACCGAATGAAAAGAGTCGAGTCATGACACTCTAAAATTCTCGAAAACACTAAGACATTAAACCATCAAGACATTGCACATAAACTTAGAATAATGATGTATAAATTGAGTCATTAGATAAATCTAAACTTATTTTGTGTGATGTAATTTTCCGAATGCTATATAATTTGGTCTACTGAGAAATTAAATTATTAATCTCGTGGTCTAATTTAATTAAAAAATTAAATTCATAAATATTTAATAAAAATATTACATATGTATCCAATTAAAATATGCCATTTAACGAATTAGGTTCCACTTAAATATAATAATAATAATTAAAAAAAAAAAAAAACATTGTATTCTGACTAAGTGAACAAACAACATAATATACTTGGCTCACCGAACTGTGCTACAGGTATCCATAACTTCTCCTACGGAGGGGAACCATCACACTCAAATAACGACAAGCCATGATATATAATATATATACACACATACATATACATATAGAGAGAGAAAGTGCTTAAACAGCACATATATAAAGAGGGAGAAATTGCCGCAATAAACCAGGATTCAAAGTTCAAACAAACAGAAACAGATCCGTAATACGCTTTGGTGGACATGGAGAGAACAAGCAGCAAGAAAGGAGACGAAACGGCCGAAGAAAAAGGCACCGTCGTGGAGCCTACGAAGACGAAGAAGGTGGAAGAAGACGATGACGCGATCGACTCGATCGAGCGGATCTTCGAGTGCAAGGAGGTACCGCCATGGCAGAGCCAGCTGACGGTGCGAGCCTTCATGGTGAGCATATTGTTGGGAGTTCTCTTCACCTTCATCGTGATGAAGCTCAATCTCACCACCGGTATCATCCCGTCGCTCAACGTCTCGGCCGGTCTGTTAGGGTTCTTCTTCGTCAAGACGTGGACGAAGCTTCTCCAGAAATCTGGACTCCTGAAGCAGCCTTTCACCAGGCAGGAGAACACCGTCATTCAGACCTGCGTCGTCGCCACCTCCGGCATCGCCTTCAGCGGTACTCGCTCTCTCTCTCTCTCTCTAGACTTGCCTGACATACATTTCTCGCCGATTGCCTGTTGCTAATCCTACAATTGGAAAGAAAGAGTAGAGTAGGGTGTAGTAAAAGAATTGGGGTTTATATTTAGATTCTCTTCATGAGAGAGAACCAAAATAGGCAAGAATAGGCTTATGATCGTCTTCGTCTGCAAAAAGTGGTGCGAAGTGCGATTAAAAATTGGATCATGACTCCATTTCGGATATCCTCTAACAGTTACTCGCTGGACTTTGAAACTTAGCAAGTCTAAGGTCTGAGATTCGAGTCTCCTTGATATTTTTTGTGGCTAGCCTCCGCTGCCTCTGTAATGACTTACTTGGCCCAAGTGAGAAGGCACCCTTTCGAATATTGGGAGATTCTCTTCATGAGAGAGAACCAAAATAGGCAAGAATAGGCTTATGATCGTCTTCGTCTGCAAAAAGTGGTGCGAAGTGCGATTAAAAATTGGATCATGACTCCATTTCGGATATCCTCTAACAGTTTACTCGCTGGACTTTGAAACTTAGCAAGTCTAAGGTCTGAGATTTGAGTCTCCTTGATATTTTTTGTTGCTAGCCTCCGCTGCCTCTGTAATGACTTACTTGGCCCAAGTGAGAAGGCACCCTTTCGAATATTGGGAGATTAGCCGGGTTATTGGTGGGTTTAAAGTGTTCGTGCCATCCCGGATATCTCAAGTTAACTAAAAAAAATAAAAATTGGACCATGATCATTGATTTTGGACCATTTGATCGTACGTATAACATACCAAAATATATGTGTGTGTGCTTGTGTGTTTTTTTTTTTTTTTTTTACAATATTTATTGTTTATTTATATATATTATTTTGATGAACACTTGCAATCTTTCGGACAATTCAACAATCTACCGAAACAATAACAACTACTATCATTTTAGGCTTTGTTTTTGAGATTTGGAGGGATAGTGAGGGAAAAGAAAAAAAAATAGTTAGGTAGTACTATTTTATAATTTTAAAATTATTCTTAATAATTAAAAGAAAGAAATTATTATTTCTCTCCTTTAATTAAAAGTATATAATAGTAGTTTAGCTATTATTCATTTTTTTTTTTTTTTTTTTCTCTCATCTATCTCATTCAAATAAAAATTATATCATTTCTTTTTTCTTTTTCATTTTTTTTTTTTTGCCTTTTTATCTTTTCTATCTATTCAAAAAGATTATTGTCATCATTTTTTTTTCTTTTCTCTAGTAACTAATAACTAATGCTATCATTTTCTTTTTTTCCCTATGTTATGTATCCAAACGGGACCTGGAAGTTTTCCCAAATGTTGGTGTTATTAAAATGATTTTAAATTTTCATTTTTCTTTCAAAATTGTGGTTGATACTGACACAAAAGAAAAATGTTACCACATGAAATCCATATATATATATATATATATATATATATGTATGTATGTATGTATGTATGTATTTTCTGCTGTTGCCAATAATAGAGTCGAATTTTTTAAGAGCATCCCATAATCTCAACCATAAAAAAATATTAGTGCGTACAAGAAATCTATGAATTTTGTATTTTTTCCCCAACAGTCGTGTCAGATTTTTTTAGAGCATGTCATAATATCAACCATAGTAGAAAAATGTTACATGAAATCTATGAATTTATTATTTTACTTTACTTTTGTTGCCAATAGTGGAGTGAAATTTTTTTTATAGCATGGTATAATCCATCACTGACACATACAAACATTTTATTTCACAATCCCTTACTAATTACAGAACAATTATTTTTTGAATTTCTCACTCCCTGTCCCACACAGTTTAAGTGTCTCTACCAACTGAATTATCTGTTCAACCGCTATTATTGTGCATGCATTTATCTCTCTTTTCTGTTAATTGTTGTGAATTAATTCTATGAATCTAGACGGGACACATCTGTCTTGGTAGGATTTCATTTGGCACTTGGCAGTTAATGTCAAGTAGTTGGGACTGTTTGGATTAGAGTTATTAGAACCAAAATAAGCTTGTAAACCTACAAAAGCTGGTTAAATAAGTAGTATTAGGTTGACTATTAGTGGCTGATTACTGTTTTTGTTCCACAACAACTCATGGTTTTGCGGAAGGAACTTATCTCCTTAATGGTGGTGGGTCCCATAATATCCTATAATGATTTGCCACGTGTAACTAGTGGTGTTAATCTCACATCCTAAGATTCATTGGAAGTTCGGCCTTCCTACAATGGCCGAAACTGAAAATAGTGTCTTTATTTAATTGTTGATAACTTTGGGCTTTTATGCTTTTTCCAGAAAGTTGTAACGTAACGAGACTCTTGGGATAGTAAATGCAAGCCCCACGAGGTCTACCCTCATGTCAACAGCCCTAATAATAATTTTCTTATATATATATATTGTAAAAGCTATTTACTCATTTGAGCTTATTAGTAAAATCATGGTATTTTTGTAGTAATATAATATTTCTTAACTCCTAATTAATTATTGTTAAATATAATTCAAATGTTCTGATTCAAAAATAATACAAATATTATAACAAAAAATTAATTTTTAAATATCATTTCCTAGTGAATGGGCCCTTTTTGGCAAATGGATCTGACTATAGAGGCCTCATTTTTAAATGGACTTGGTTGGGCCACAAAGTGTAGATTTAGTTTTGATCCTGATTTTTTTCTCTAATTATTAGCATGTTTTTGTTGTTATGAGCAGGAGGTTTTGGTAGTTACCTTTTTGGCATGAGTGAGAAAATTGCTGAACAGTCAAGTGAAGCTAAGAATGCAGCGAATATCAAGAATCCAACTTTGGCATGGATGATTGGATTTCTTTTTGTTGTTAGCTTTCTCGGACTCTTTTCTGTGGTGCCTCTTCGGAGGGTAAGATTGTTTCTCTGAGCTATCCTCATGGACAAACAGTCCTGTTAATTTTGCCGCCCAATTTCATACTTCCAACATATACATTTATTTACATGTATAATCTGTTTCAGATAATGATAGTAGACTTCAAACTGACTTATCCAAGCGGCACTGCAACCGCTCACCTTATCAACAGCTTCCATACTCCTAAAGGAGCCAAGCTTGCAAAGTGAGTCTATGAATAAAAATATCCATTTTTACTCGTTCAATCTTGGAGACAAGTTTTCTTTTCGATCTGTTTACATCTCTCGGATCATTTTGTTACAGGAAACAAGTCAGAACTCTCGGCAGATTCTTCTCATTTAGCATCTTGTGGGGTTTCTTCCAGTGGTTCTACACTGGAGGGGAAAATTGTGGATTTGAATATTTTCCTTCACTTGGTCTCAAAGCCTACGAACAAAAGTACATATCTATTACCCTCCATTTTCACTAATTTCCTTCATACATATCCATTAGCTTGAGCAGCATATATACAACTAGCAGCAAGCTCATTGAGTTCTCTACGACTTAAGCTTAACGTTTTCTCTTTCTTGTTCAAGTGATCTGATCTTCTTTGTGTTTCGTTTTTGTTTTTCCCCCAATCAAAAAATCAGGTTTTATTTTAATTTCTCAGCAATGTATGTTGGTGTTGGGATGATCTGTCCATATCTAGTCAACGTATCGTTGCTAATTGGAGGAATTCTCTCATGGGGTATAATGTGGCCTCTTATAGAGACCCAGCAGGGCCATTGGTACCCTTCTGGCCTGGGGCAAAGTAATCTCCATGGGATACAGGGTTACCGGGTAAATTTCTTGTTCTTAAAGCCTAGGTACAAAAATTTGGACCTGCTCGCTTTCTAACCTATCCTTTCTCCTTCCTTTATTACAGGTCTTCATTGGCATATCCATGATCCTAGGTGATGGACTATACAACTTTGTCAAAGTCCTTTATATCACCATCTTTGGTTTATATAACCAAATGCGTCAAAAAGATTCAGGTGATGTCCTTCCAGTTGATGGTCGGTCTGCCCTAGCGAATTCTGTATCTTATGACGACCAACGACGGACCCAACTTTTCCTCAAGGACCAAATACCAACATGGCTTGCAGTTGCTGGCTATTTAATCATTGCTGTCATCTCTGCCGTTACAATTCCACATATCTTCCCCCCACTCAAGTGGTACTATATTGTGGTTATATATGTATGTGCACCCGTATTAGCCTTTTGCAATGCTTATGGATGTGGGCTGACTGATTGGTCCTTGGCATCCACCTACGGAAAGCTGGCAATCTTTGTAATCGGATCATGGGCAGGAGCCTCTGGTGGTGGAGTGCTCGCGGGATTAGCAGCTTGTGGGGTTATGATGAACATAGTCTCCACTGCATCTGACCTCACGCAGGATTTCAAGACAGGCTATATGACCCTGGCTTCACCAAGGTCCATGTTTGTGAGCCAAGCTATTGGTACTGCAATGGGCTGTGTTATTTCCCCTTGTGTGTTTTGGCTCTTCTACAAGGCATTCCCTGATATCGGTGTCCTTGGTACAGAATATCCTGCCCCTTATGCTACTGTTTACCGGAACATGGCAATCTTGGGGGTTGATGGGTTTTCAGCTTTGCCAAAGCACTGCCTTCAGCTTTGCTATTTGTTCTTTGGTGTGGCTATTGTTGTCAATGCAATCCGAGATGTTGTTGGAAAGAAGTGGGCTCAGTATATTCCTCTTCCTATGGCAATGGCAATACCATTCTACATTGGATCGTACTTTGCGATTGCTATGTGCATTGGGAGCTTCATACTCTTTGTTTGGAGGAAGATAGACAAGGCCAAGGCCGATGCATTCGGACCTGCTGTGGCTTCTGGTTTAATTTGTGGGGAGGGAATATGGACACTGCCTAGTTCCATTATCGCTTTGTTAGGTGTGAAACCACCCATCTGCATGAAGTTTCTGAGCAGTAAATATACTAGCAAGGTTGATAAATTCCTTAAAGAACTTAAATCTAAATCTAAGATTGGGTAGGCAAGTATATGGTGTCTTATTTCTTTTGTTCATCTTCAAACATGGATCTCATCATATCTATGTACATGTAGAATTATTCATGCATCTGTTGATGCTAGAAAGTAGAGTCAAAGTCCTATATGTGCAAAGTATTCATATATAATAAGATCCAAAATTTCAGCTTATAGGTGACTTGTGCAAAGGAACTCTACAGTCCTTAAGAGAGAAATGAATTTTAATCTGCTTCTATTTACAATCGAATTTCTGTTTTCGCAGGTCGTTGTATTTGATAGGCTTTTAAGAGTCTGGCATGTCTTTCTTGATCAACACAGGCTTCTTACAATCTTTTACTCTGAAGTCAAAACAACCCTCCTAGATGGCTAAAAAAAAATTCAGCTTGATTTTCAATTGCTCTCTTAAAATTGAGGCTATTCATTGAACAAATTCGATCAGTGAGTAGAGGCTGATGTCATAGATGTCAATGACATATGACGTCAGCCACCACTCACATATATCAGTCGCAATTGTCCTACTTTTGAACTCTAAATCATTATATATTCTCAAGCTTCCACTTTAGTTAGGTTTTTGGATATTGCTTTCACAAGTGCTTCATCAGTTTTGCAGCCTGTTTCTTATGATGAATATCAAAATCTGGTGCTTTGAATGGTTTAACTCTAGCAAAGCATCTATGATGGTCACACATGAGAGAATGAAAACCGAGATGCATTGTCCCATGTATTCCTAAACAAGCTTTTGAGGGTTGAACCCTTGTGGTACCAAAACCAATGGACTTGAGACATGAAGAAAATTATATGTTGTTGATCAAATAATAACAATATTAGCAGAGGAATCAACAGACCTGTGGCCTAGCGGTACAAGACTCCTACTTCTCAAAGGAAGGTTAGAGGTTCGAACCTCAGTGGAGGCAGTGTGTGTGAGTCCCAACTAAAAAAAAAAAAAAAATTATATATATATATATATATATATATATATATATTAGCAGAGGATCATATCTTGTGAATAACAGGGTATTGCGCAAAGGAAATTGATGGAGTTTACTCCTACATGGAGGTTATCTCAGGTGATCTTTATCCTTTCCTATGCACACATGTGCGTGTCTAGAAAAGAATTCAAATTTATGCATAACGATATTGGTTGATGAAAAGTCAATTGGTGGACCTCTTGGTAGGTCCTAACTCCTATGATTTGGTTAAGATTATATACGAGTAGTAATATAAGTGGCAACGAGCCTAATGAGGATTATGAGCATAAAGAAAATGGTTAATTACAATGACACTCCCCGATGTTTGCTTTATTAACAGTTATATATAAGTTAGTCCACTTTTGAACAATGGCACCCCTCAGCTTTGCTACCTTTGACAAAGACACTCATCGAGGCCTGACATGTAATAAAATGACCCAAGTATCCTTTGACTTGTGAAATGACACCTTTGAATAATGAAATTACTAAGTTACCCATCATAATAAATTTAAAATGTCCAAAATAACCTCTCATACATCTCTCTATAAACAAATATTGTCGATAAATAACCTGATATATGTGTGTGTGTGTGTATATATATATATATATCACATATGCGTTTCATAGATCTAACGTATTAGTGGGGTTGCCAGAGCATGGGTTGAAGAACGTTCCATGGTTCTCCAATGTACCAGTGGGGTGGTCGCCGGAGCTTTGTACTGGAATCGCCGAAACCCTAGGTCTATTGGAGACAGACGAATCAACAGTGGTGTAAAATCACCCAAATCGTGCCAAACGTTTGTGAACAACACACCAAACAGAACTTCTCTGATTAGCAATCAAATCAATCTACGAATCCAATTTAGTTAATTCCGGTGATGCCCTACCACATCTGCTGCAACCTTCGACCACGGTCTGATGATGTATATGGATTTGGATTGATCTGTGGGTTGTTCATCTGTTTGTTTTTGCTCCTCAATTTCTTTGAATATGGGTCGGTAGAACTTTCCCGATGAGAATTATGGTGGTGATGATTGGATATATATATATATATATATATATATATATATATATATATATATATATATATATATGTTTATAGATCTTTTGTAATAATGGGTTTTACAAAAATAGGATCTATGGCGATGCTGAGTGGTGGTTGTGGTGGTGAGTGGAGAAAGGGGGAAAGAAGAGGTGGGCGGTGGTGAAGGTAGGTGATGGTGACGATTTTGTTTTCTTGTGGGTGATGGTGGTGGTGGCGATTGTGGGAGAGAAATTAAACACTAGTTTAGTGGTGGTTGAATGTGTTCGGTGAGATTGGTAGAAGGGCAAAAGTGTCCTTTTAAAATTTTGATATTGTAGAATCTAAATTAGTTAAATATTGATGGACAATTTTGTCTTTTCAAACCTTTTAAGGGTTTGTTTGGATCAAAATTTTATCGGGGGTGTCATCATTCAAAAAAGGTTCAACTTATATATGGGTGTCATTATAGCAAACCTCAGGGAGTGTTGTTATAATTAACCCTAAAGAAAATGATATAAATGTCAATCGAAATTTTATACCTACAAAGGAATATATTCAATTCTATTACTCACAAAAAGTTATTTTTTTTTTTGGAAAATAAGGTAATATATTGAAGATGAAACTGTACAAAGGCCGAAGCCCACATAAGAGCAAAAACAGAGGGAAACTCAGCCTAGAACTACAAAGCCCAACCCATGATTCAGTTGAAAGAAGACAATTATATTATAAAAAAAACCCTAGAATATTGTTGTCTAAGTCAACAACACAGCCGGTGTGATGAGAGACAGAAGCAGAGCCTCGAAGATTCAGTCCGGCTCAGGTGGTGGCCGGATGAAGGATGAAGGAAGGTCCCAGTTTAGAGCAAGCTTCCTCGTAAGAGCAAAGTCCTTTACCGGCATCGAGATGAGCCTTTGCTTTATCATATCCATGAAAGACCTAAGAATTTTTTATTGCGAATTCCTCTATCCTCGAAAGATCTTATCATTCTTTTCAGTCCAGATCCGGTTGATGACGGTGGAGAGGACCAACAAGTTGGTTGAGATTTGCAGATTCCTCCTTCTCCATCGAGCTGATGCCCAAGTAATGAAGTCATTCCAAGAGAGATGTGAAACACGAATTCGGTATTTTATTTGCATGAAGCTCCAAATAGGTTTCGTGAATGGGCAAGCAAAGAACATGTGTTTATGCGACTTATCCGATGACTGACAGAGACAACTGATAAGCGCTGAATACTGTATATTCAAGCGCCCTAAATTACATTAACAAAGTCCAGTTATTAATTATTTTATGTAGATTAACTCCATTTGCATGTTTTTATGCATTTTCAGGTTAAAGTGCAAAAAGGAAGCAAAAATGATGCCTTGTGGAATTTTGAACAAAAAGGATGCCATTTCTGAATTTCTGGCAGCAGTGATCCTGACTTTTGTCGCCATTTTAGACCTAGCAAACTCAAGAACTGGACTTCCATCATAACATGAAAGATTTAGATCTCTGAATCAGCTTTCCAAATCTTCAAGCGGTTCATCATTCGGAGTTCGGAGCAGAGAGTTATGATCTTCGTAATAGAGGTGCGCAGAACTGCCTGGCAGCACTGAAGTACTGCCTTTCTCCCCATTTTCGACCAACCCTCCTAGATGGCTAAAAAAAAATTCAGCTTGATTTTCAATTGCTCTCTTAAAATTGAGGCTATTCATTGAACAAATTCGATCAGTGAGTAGAGGCTGATGTCATAGATGTCAATGACATATGACGTCAGCCACCACTCACATATATCAGTCGCAATTGTCCTACTTTTGAACTCTAAATCATTATATATTCTCAAGCTTCCACTTTAGTTAGGTTTTTGGATATTGCTTTCACAAGTGCTTCATCAGTTTTGCAGCCTGTTTCTTATGATGAATATCAAAATCTGGTGCTTTGAATGGTTTAACTCTAGCAAAGCATTTATGATGGTCACACATGAGAGAATGAAAACCGAGATACATTGTACTATGTATTCCTAAACAAGCTTTTGAGGGTTGAACCCTTGTGGTACCAAAACCAATGGACTTGAGACACGAAGAAAATTGTATGTTGTTGATCAAATAATAACAATATTAGCAGATGAATCAACAGGCATGTGGCTTAGCGGTGCAAGGCTCCTACTTCTCAAAGGAAGGTTAGAGGTTCGAACCTCAGTGGAGGCAGTGTGTGTGAGTCCCAACTAGGAAAAAAAAAATTTATATATATATATATAGATATATATATTAGCAGAGGATCATATCTTGTGAATAACAGGGTATTGCGCAAAGGAAATTGATGGAGTTTACTCCTACATGGAGGTTATCTCAGGTGATCTCTATCCTTTCCCATGCACACATGTGCGTGTCTAGAAAAGAATTCAAATTTATGCATAACGATATTGGTTGATGAAAAGTCAATTGGTGGACCTCTTGGTAGGTCCTAACTCCTATGATTTGGTTAAGATTATATACGAGTAGTAATATAAGTGGCAATGAGCCTAACGAGGATTATGAGCATAAAGAAAATGGTTAATTACAATGACACTCCCCGAGGTTTGCTTTATTAACAGTTATATATAAGTTAGTCCACTTTTGAACAATGGCAGCCCTCAGCTTTGCTACCTTTGACAAAGACACTCATCGAGGCCTGACATGTAATAAAATGACCCAAGTATCCTTTGACTTCTGAAATGACACTTTTGAATAATGAAATTACTAAGTTACCCATCATAATAAATTTAAAATGTCCAAAATAACCTCTCCTACATCTCTCTATAAACAAATATTGTCGATATATAACCTGATATATGTGTGTGTGTGTATATATATATATCACATATGCGTTCCATAGATCTAACGTATTAGTGGGGTTGCCAGAGCATGGGTTGAAGATCGTTCCATGGTTCTCCAATGTACCAGTGGGGTGGTCGCCGGAGCTTTGTATTGGAATCGCCGAAACCCTAGGTCTATTGGAGACAGACGAATCAACAGTGGGGTAAAATCACCCAAATCGTGCCAAACGTTTGTGAACAACACACCAAACAGAACTTCTCTGATTAGCAATCAAATCAATCTACGAATCCAATTTAGTTAATTCCGGTGATGCCCTACCACATCTGTTGCAACCTTCGACCACGGTCTGATGATGTATATGGATTTGGATTGATCT